ACAGAACCCATCTGATTTAAATCTACAGATCACAGATGAGAGTGGAAGGAAGAGGTGCCCATATAGGAGTGATTTTGTTGTTCAAAGATGAGATGAAAATTTATCATGGGGCAATCAATTATTTCCTAGTGTTGGAAGCTTGTTCTCCTAAACAGAACAAGATTTGTAGTGGGCTGTAAGGATTAATCTTCTCAGAGAAGAAAGACATGTTATCCTGTATTTCCTATTTTATGTATAAGCAGGAAAGCTGAAACATGAGAGAAATACAAATTTGAAGACGTTTTGAAATGTATCAGAAGTCTGCCTCTCAACACTTAAAAATCTCTCAATTTAACCTGTTTTCAAGGGAAATAAAATGGCAATTGTGGCATCTTAAAACAGCATTTTGATCTCCAAAGCAGCATCTTGTATGCAAACATTTCTGGGGCGTGCCTCGCTGCCAGTGTCATGCTATGATACCCCAACTGCTCTGCCCGTCAGAAGCAGCATGATGCTCCTAGAACAGTAACCCAGTGGTCAGCTAGCATCTGGATTGCCTTCCCAGTGGTCTGGTGGTTTGTGCCTGGTATGAAAGGCCCAACCTCATGCCTACACCTGCACTAGAGGCTGTGGCCAGGTTGTGTCTGTGCAGAGGGTCACAGAGCGGGTTGCGGTGCCGCTTCCCACCACGGAGGGACCCAGTGGGGCTGGCGGTCCCCTCATGGGAGCACACTGAGGGTCAGCGCCCGCCCCGCGGCCTAGCAGCCTGCCCTGGTGCCACGGAGCAGCTCGCAGGTAGCCTCCTGCCGGGCAGCACCCCACGTCGTGCTATTCACAAACCGCAGCACCATTCTGCTTCCAGCCTCCTAATCCCTCTTACACACAATCCCTTACAACTTTAACTGATGGGGTGGAGGAGTGAGTTAAAAAGGAAGGAAAAAGGAAAATGAAACACAATGTGCAGGCAGTGTCTGCCAGGGTCTGTGTGCACAATTGACACCAGCTGCAGCCCAATTAAAGCCGACATTCACAGGTGTTCCCCGCAGACCCTGCATGAACAAAACCACTTTCTTGAGAATACCTAAGGCTTTAACACAGAAGCTCATTTCTTTCTTGCTTTTGCTTTTTTTAAGATTCTTTAAAGCTATTTAGAGCACTTTAAACACAAAGAAGCTGAAAAGGACTTTCATTTACTGGGAAAGGGCTGGTGCTCACTGCCAGGAGCGGGCAGAGCCAGCGCAGTGAAATGGCATGGAAGGATGGGTTGTGCTGAGCATTGCTTGCTCAGGGGGCTGCAGCCAGCACCCGGCGTTTTGTACTTGCTGGAGGTGGAGCCAGTGTAAACCCATTGCTTTTTTGGGACCCACTGTTACTTGGGCAGTGGATGCAAGCTTGTGTATGGCTCTGCTGGTTGCAGTTGATCTGTGTGATTTGGATGGCTCGCTGGCGCTCTCTGTTCCTCCTAAGATAACCTGACACAGTCCCTTCTGGGCCTCGAAGCAGGAGTAAATGAGTTGCTTACTTTCTGACCTTGGAAGCACTCACTCAGATGATAAATCACTCCTTATGTTCAACTCTGTTGTTAAAAAGAAAAAAAATGGTAATTTGTTCTTTAAAGGAGGCTTGAAAATTATTTCCGTGCTAAGATCAGACTAATGTCAGTAAATAGGTCAATAATTTGCTCTCACTGCACTGAAAATGAGAAACATGTCTGTTAAATTTTCATTTGTAACGATGCTAATAATCAATACAGGGTATATTCCAGCACTCATAGATTTAGTAATATTCAGCCCCACCTGGCTTGCTTTGCTATCCCTGCAGTAACAACCTTCACCCTTACTTGTTATTTAATTACCTGCTGCCTGGCCTGTTGCTGTTCAAGCAGTGTTGTTTCTGACATTCACTTAATGTCTTCATCACCACTTTAATGGTCATTGCTGAAAGCTGCTCTCAATTCAGATGAAGCTGAGAATACCTGTTTTGTCCTTCAGTATTCTTAGCTGCAATTTTGCCTCTGGGACAGCAACAGGACATTATTCCTATTCTTTACAGCATGCTGAGATCTGAAAGTCTGTTTTAACTGAAAAGACAGAAATTGTGATTTTTTGGATTTGTATTTGAAAATAGGTAAGAATTGCCTTAAAACTAACTAACTAAGTAATGGTGCTTAACAGCATTCATCTGCTGGGGCAGGCAGTTGCTGTTCAAGCTGATAAGTGCAGTGGAAAGAAAAGAAAGTCAGCCAGGGTTCAAACTCACAAGCAAGAGGTCTAAATTAGATGTTTTTGCACAGAAAAAGTTGTTGAAGGTGCTATCGGTTGTTTTCTGAAAAAAATCACCCCAGAAGCATTTCCATGCCATGATGCAGCTCCAGGCACAGGGCAGAGCAGAACCTGAGGGCTCTGCAGGGACTGTCGCTGGGGGATTGTGGAGACCTGCCTGAGGAGGGTATAGTGAAAGTCCATGCAATCACTGATGACGTGGGGAAGGTGAACAGGGAACAGATAAATCACTGCTCTCATAACACAGGAACTAGAAGGCACTTCTTGAAATTACCCACTTCAAGACAAACAAAAGTGCTTTTTCATACAGTGCATGATTAGACCGTGGCGCTCGTCACAGGATGTCATGGAGGCCAAAAGGAGAAGTGATTTAAGAAAGTAATTGGACAGACTGAGGAAAAGTCTACTGCAAGATTTTAAAACTCATGATCTAGATATTGGGCCTGGTGCGGGAGTGATGCTGAGCCCTGTGGGAAAGGACCTTGCACATTGTTTTGAAAAGCCACTGATTTTCTTCTGTGTGTCTGTAAGCCCCTTCTGCTCCCTTTCCCTTTGTCTCGCTGAACCGGACATATATTGTGCTTTAATCCAGGCAGAAATGAAGTTTTAAATCCCTTCCATTTCTTGGTCTGGTATGAGATGTCCCAGTATGATTATGACAAGAAATATCTATTAGAGACCTGATGTCCTCAGTTAGCAAAGGAACAGAAACAATGCTCTGGGTCTTCTTTGACCGCGTGCAAGGGCCCAAATTTTAAACACTGTGCCATATTGCCTACTCTTTATTACTCAATATTATATGGAAGATTTAGTCCACAAAAATTCTGAATGCAGCCAGGAAAAGAGAGGACGATAATTTATGCCTTAAAATCTTTTCCTCTTCCCTTAAAAGCAGTTCAAATATTCCTGAATACCAAATAACAGAATATCTTTTTCTGGTTTTTCCTCACGTGTCATAATTTTTGGTTATCACAGAACTTATGTTTCAGACTTTCAGAATGCAATTAAAAGAAAAAAAAATCCTTAGTTATGGTCGCTGTTACTGCTACTCTTTGTACAGCTCAAAGAAAGCATCTAGACATCATCAGAAGTATTGACTTCTGGGCAAATTCCTCCCAAATGCTTCCCTGTGCAAATGAAACAGGAAAAGATAGGACTGGCAGAAGAGTGCCTTCTTTTTTGGATCTGCCAGTGTAACGGCCCTTACTTAGCTTCTCCTTCAGTGCAATATATCACCAACTGAACAACTCAACTTCAGTGATACCCTTCTTCATCATTTTGGTGCTGTAAATAGGCGGTCTCTGTGAGCAGAACTGAAAGGACAAAACCCAGAGGTCTCTTCCTCTTTGTGTTGTGCAAAACTTGCCCTTAGTGCTGCATTTGGCAAGGGAAAACACACCCTTCTTTAAGGACAGGCACGGCTTTGGAGTCCAGGATGTTTGGGATTTGTTTCTCTATCCAGAGTGTTCTCTCTTTTGAAAGACTGCTGCGTTTGGTTTCAAGCATAGGTGGGGACGTGTGAGGGGGCTGATCTCAGTTTTGTGTATTCTGGTGTTTTTTTGTTTTGTTTTGTTTTGTTTTGTTGGTGGTGGTGGGTTTTTTTATCTTCAAATAGCTCTGTGTTTGTGCTGGAAAGCAGGAAATAGTCACACCACCTACTTAGTGAAAAACCTGAGTGGAAGGACTGAAGTACCTGCATTACTTTCCGGAAGGATACATTGCTTATCTCCCTAAGAAGCCGGAGCACTAAAGCTCAGCTCTGCTTCCACCTTTAACTGTCTCTGAAGTCCTGAAGTGCATTAAAATGCATAACAGCAGTGTTTAGCTTCACTGTTCATTAGAGCAGCAAGGAACTAAAAGTAATATTGTTGAAACTTGACAAAGCCATCTAAATCCATGCATGTTTTCTTGTGAAAGCTTCCTAAACATGCTGCTAAATCCTCTAAAAAGCTACTAAACGGCTTTGGCAACCATTAGCACAGCATAAGCAGGGGAACTCTTTTCAGTAAGTGAACAAACAGAGAAAATATGCTGAATAGCTGGACAAATGTGTTTCAGCTGGCTCTTTCATTTACAGATATAAGGGAGCAGTCAATATCAATCACTGTTTTCCCTGTTGCACTGGAAATCACAATATCTCTTTTCATTCCACAAGCTCTTTTCACCACAGCAATGTGTCTTTAGAATGACACTGGCATCAGTCTGTTTCCGCTGTCTGAAGTCCAGAGAGCTTAAAAACACATTTCAGGGTACGAGACCTTCACCCCCCGCCCCTTCCACATACCCCTCTCCTTCGAGCTTTCCTTGCTGAATTAATTGGTTTTACTTCTTTCCCAGCTTAAAGTTTAAAAGGAAAAGTGCCTGTGGAGCCTGGGAATATCTGTTCTTGTGCTTTGGGGACAGAAAAATATATTGCTGCTTTCTGGAGTTTTAATTTATCAGGTGTTGCAGAGGGGTTAAGGCAAGGTAATATGATTATCAAGTTAAAGTAATTTGCAGTGTACTTGTGCATGAAACGTAATGTTACCGTGGTTTGAATTTGGAGCTCTATCCCGTTGCTGGGAAGTGCTAATCAGCCACAGCCTCATTAATTCAAATTAAAAAAAAAAGTGTCAGAGAAACTCTGTCCTAGTGGGTATCTGGTGTTTGGAATGTGCTGATAGCCTCGTGCTTGCTTTCTTCATTTGAAGCAATACATTTTAAAATAATAACATGGTGGGATGCTTTGTGTCGTTGCAGATAACAGCAGTCTGTAGAGAAGCTGCCCTGCTAGCACTTCAAGAAGACATCAATGCCAAATGTATCTTGGGACGGCACTTTCGGGATGCATTGACGGTTGTGACACCAAGAATTCCCGATTCCTTAATCCAGTTTTATGCAGATTATCAGCAGCAAAGTGGACTGCACACGCTTTGAAAGGCAAACCAATACCTATGCCTGTTCATGGTGTGAATAGCAAATTTCCATTGTAAAGCTGACAAAAGCCAAAGAATTTTGCATTGTACGTGGAATGTCCAATGTTAACTCAAATGTGAAATCATCATAATAAATGCCCATGTGGATTTTTTGAGTGTAACAGAAATCATCTAAACTTTGTATTTTACATTTCCAATGGCATAATCTGCATGTCAGAGGCAGTAAGAGTGCTGGTTTAACTCAGTATTTCTGAGTCTACACCCATCTGTCAAAAACTAATTCCCAAAATCCAAAGTTTTAGTGGATTCTTGGCCTTTAAAAGAACTGCAGTGAGTGTCATTGCTGCCTTCGTTTGTTCGTGCCTCAAACCCAGTTTAATCCCAGGGACCCTCCCAGCACGGCACAGACCTGGGGAGGGGCCTCACTACAAAAATGCTGGAAATTATTCTGAATCTTTTGATTTATGATCTCCAGAGAAGCTGCCAAACAGGCTTGTCGACCATAGCGTTTCCCTGATTGATTACAGCAAAGCATTTATCTTCAATCTTCAGCAGCAATGTTTCACGCATGCTTTAAAGCGGGCACGTTACAAATTGTACATCACCAGGCTTCCAACGCATTTCAGAAAGCAACCTGCATCTGATTCTTGCCTCACCTGAAACCACTTCCAGGCATCAGTGAAAGATAATGTTGTTTGCTTCTATCAACATACGTAAATATGAGCGTTGATTGGTAATTTCCAGTCAGAGGAAATCACAGCTCCAAATGAATAAGAAAACCTTACAAAAAGTGCTATAAATGACCACAAAATGGTTTAGGGACAGATAAGATCTTTTCAAATTACTTCTTTGTTATATCACCTGTTGAAACAGCAGCAGATATTTCTGGGCTCTCTGCTCTTGCACTTGATGTAAGAATTAATTAAGCAAATTGATCTTCAGCATTCTTCCCCACGGTGGAAAGGCAGCTTTTCTATTCTGGGAGTGAAAAATAAAGGGAATAATGCAACAAAACCAATCTGAACTTAAACAAAAATTTTTAAAAAGGTGACAAAAGCCCGAATTTCATTGCTTAATTCTGTGCTTCCTTTGTGCTTTGCAGGTAAGTAGAAGAATTTACAAGTCAAAATTTTAGGCAAGTCCTTCTTTTACTTGTTGGAATAAGCAGGAAAAATCTTTTTCAGGCTTTAGCAAGTGTAAGATTGTCTTTGGCATCTATTTATTGATGGTTCTGAAGACTTTTCTTTCCTGCAGCCATGTATTTCTATTCGTGAGAGTGGTATTTATTTAGAAATGTCTGGTTTTTAGTAAGAACTTTGCATACACTTAAGAGAGATTTCTACCACATGTAATGATGTTATCAGTATGAAAGGTAAGAAGAATTTCTTGGCCTTATGTTTTTTCTCTCTTTAGAGAGTTCCACTGTGCCTGCAAGTTGTAGCCTTTAAAAAAGAAATCTCATTATGTATTATGCTAATAACTTTTTATTAGTTTTAGCTTAACTTCTTGTTGTTATAATTAGCATTTAATTTTACTGTCATTGACAAGGATTAGAGGATTCAGAAAAGCAGATAGTTTACTTAGTTCTGATACGTGTGCAGGGAATTCTTATTCTTTCCCATACCCACTCTTTGATAGTACAGCAAGCAGAGGGAATGAAAACAAAATAAATAAACAGGAAAAATTACCTTGGGGATCCAGGCCACATTTGAAACTACTTTATCCTTTTTTAAATTGTGTATTCTCCAACCTGGAGCTCAGGATGTGAGAGCCATTTATAGTAACAGTTACATTTAAATGTTTCTTGTCAGAATTCTGGAAAATAACCTCAAATTCCTGCTGGAATACAATTTTGGTCAATGCTTATCAGCATGAGAGTCCTTTTGTAATCATTTTGGAATTTTCCAATCTCCTTGGAAAATCCTTCTGTCCCTGGAGACACTCAAGATCAGGCTGGATGGAGCTCTGAGCACCTAATGTAGATATAGATGTCCCTATTTCTTGCAGAGGAGTTGGACTAAATGGTTTTTAAGGGTCCCTTCAGGTGAAATGATTCTATGGTTCTATGAAATGGGCTACTGCACTGGCTGGGATTGAGGGGATGGGCGTCCAGTGAGCGCCTCTGCACCCTCAGGCTCCCATTGGAAGATGCAGGCAAGGGCACTACTGGACAAGGCACTTCAGAAGTGCTTCTCTTCCTCTAGCATTGACATGAGTCATTTTCACTTCGGAGCTGAACTTTTCACAGCCTGCTTTCATGCACACATTGTGCCTTGGCACCGAATCAAGCTGCTTGCATTGTGAGACCATATAAGCCCAAATACCTCAATGCTTCAGAATAAATCAGAGATAGAGGAGTGCTTTCAACTACTGGGTTAATCACCTGTATTGTTGTTTGGGTGTGTGCGTGAGATATTATTTTAATAAAATGATAGAAGCTTGGCAAACAGAAAAGAACACATTTGAGAGGAACATCTCTCTCCCATTCCCTCTTTACTTCCTGAAGTGGTTTCCATACTTATTTCTTTACATTCTTTAGGAATGCAGTCCTTTTCCTGCCGGCCATTATCTTTTGGAGCTGGTTTTTGGCCCAAGTACTGCTTGAATTGCAGAATTGTTAACATTAAATCAGCTTTTCAATGTTTCAGGCACATTTTGTTTAAATACAGAGTTTAACTTCTTCCTCCAATAACAATGTCTTGAAAAATGGCTTAAAATGTATTTTGACAGTTTTGCCAAAAAATGATCGGGAGAATATTTATGATCAAAACACAAAAATGCCTTCACTTAACCTGAAAAACATCCAGTTCTATATTTTCCCTAATGCGTAAAACAGATTCTCACTGCAAGCACAATACACAATTCTTAATCCTGGAAAAAGAATGAAGTTTACTGTGGATAATTTTCTGCAGTGTGAGCACAAATGGAACGTGAGGCTTGCTGAGTTCATTTTCAAGGATGACTATTTAAAATCAGGACTTACGAATTTTGTGTCTGTAGAGCTGATTTTTCAGGTTTGTGTATTCTGGTTCTGTCCTTTTAGTTGCTTTATTTATTTTCAATGTCAAAGTGTGGTTCTTCTCCTCTAGAAACTGGGCATGTGCCAAACACAACGCTCCTGTAGATCAGCATCGGCGATCAGAGCTGTGGGTGAGGCTACGTGGGGATGATGCTCTGTGCAAACCCTGTGCTGATGGGGCATGGCAAGGGTAGAGGAAGCTGAAAGGTAAAGCACGGTGCTTTCCTGTGTGCTGTTTGGTTGAGCTGGAGTTAGATGGGGATACTTGCGAGTTCATGAATAGGAAAATTACCCCTCCTTACTGCAACACAGAAGAGTGAAGGAGACTGGCTGTAAGGCTTTTGGTTGTCTCTTCTGTATTTGTGCTTATAGTTTTTGGTTGGTTGAAATGAATTATAATTATTTTTATCTATGAGGAATCACAAAATCTTTGGCTTTTGCTGATGCCTTTTTTCCCCTTGACATGAAAGAAAATGCTGAAGGTGATCTCGTGAATACAGCTCAGTAAAGATCTGTTCTTAAGAAGTGGGTTCAAAATGTATGCAGGATTGTAATTGAATTTGGGCATAGTTTTGAATGGCAAATTGACACGTGGAAGAGAAATATTTCAGCTGAAACCTTCCCCTAATCTTGGGTTTTGTCTACTCCTTCTGCAACTTCTGCCTGTTCGTTTATTACATTTTTTCTGTAGGAAACCAGGCCATGCATTTTCTCCAGGGCTTTGTGTGTTCTTTGCTGAGTATTTTAAATTGTGTCATTCTTGCCTGCAGACTTAAACCCAGCACCTGCAGTGTTCCGACAGCAGAAGGAGACGTGTTTTCCCTGTTAACCCATCCGCCAAAGAGTGCAGTGATGCGGGAAGAGTCCTACTCTGTGCTCACATGGCAGGCCTCCAGCAGGAGCGCAGGTGCTGTGAGGGAAGGCAATGGCAACCAGATGACATTCCTTCCCCTTGAGCCAATGCTCAAACAGATTTGGGGTCTTTTCAGCAAAATTTGAGGTTAGTGCATTGCCTCAAAACCCATAGCAGAAAGACTTGAATTCCTCTCACCATAAGGCTGGAGGAGTGAAGTTGTTCTCGCTTCCCTTTGCAGTCATTGGAGAGGGATGAGAAGGCCCAGGTAGTGATTTAGCACAGCACACAGGCCCTTGTTCATCGCTGGCAAAAATGCATAGCTGATGGTGATGACTATGTTGAAAAAGGGTAGCTGAGAATTTGCTCTATCATCAGTGTTATTGTGCTCTTTGTAGCTGTTGTTTCCTATTTATTTCATGGAAAGCATTACTTTCGGAGCGGCATGCCTCCATCCTGTGTCCATGAATAGGCCTGGAAATGCTGTTGTTCTCAGTGCCTGCGCTTGTTATGTGGGTCTCAGCCATAACCCCCTGATGGCTTTATCTCCTTCACTAACACAGAAGAGTTCTCACATCCCTGCCTGGGGAAGCAAACACCTCCACAGAGTGTGGAAAACTCTGATAACCTTCAAGGTGAAGCACTCATCAACTCTTGCTTTATCCAGGAATGGATTATCTGGGTTGTGGAACAATGAGGTCATGTCTTTTCTCTACACTGCTGGAGAGAGCCTCAAGTTTCACACAGGGTAGCTGCTCCCGTCCAGTCTTCTCTGCTTAATGCAATGGAAAGCAACTTCCTTGTCAGCAAGCTTTCCCAAAGCTGAGGATGTGAAATGTGTTCATTTGGCTTCATGGCGTTATGTGTGAGGCATTTCTGTGGCGTTTGGATTGCTGTGTTAGCTGGGAGTTGGCTGTGTTGGGTGCAGAATGGTGAGGTGACCAAAGCCATCGGGCTCCTTTCAGGTGAATGGCCCCTTGGCTGCACTGCCACAACCCAAACCTGGGCACTGCAGCTTTAACGGAGAGCTATTGCCTTGAGAGTGAGGGATCCCTAAAACAGGGCTGCGGGTGTGAAGGCCAAGGAGTGCTTAAGTAGATTAGGACACAAAGATAACCTTTAATGTGCCGAAATGCTTACTCACCAGCTAAATGGCAATTATTCCACCAAATCAGCAAGCTCTACCCTTCTACCCAACAGATTCTATCTTTCAGATAGTTAAGCTCTTTAATAAGCAGTACCATTAGAAAAAAAAAAAAAAGAAATATAAAAGCACATTAAAAAATTCTATGTAAGTTTCAAGCAAAGCACAGAAATATCAGAGACACCATGAATATTGAGGTTATGGCAGGGCTGGCAGTGGTGTACACAGGGTGCTGCCACACAAAAATTTCTGCAACAGAAAATTCTTGAAATTTGGTTTACAGAACTCACTGACGTTTTTTGTACAAACATGTAACATAACTCATCCACCTCTCTCTTAGCATTGTGAAAATCTTGGTGAAGCTGTCTGAAATGTGTAGAAACAACTGGTTACCTTGGTCTGAGCCCACATCCAGGCTTTCATCATCCGTAATTTTGGTAAAAAGCTGCTTTTGTTAATGTAATGCATCATAGTAACCGGTTACACTTTCACTACAAAAGGGTGTTTTATTTTCCCGAGGGATGAATAGCAATCAAGGGTCAGCTGGTAGTGCCAAGTGCCTTGATAACACAATTGGCTGCATAGAGCTTTGTTAGGCCCCTCCGTGCTTGCTGGGGAGACTTAAAAGAAGATGGTGGGAGAGCTGCTCTCCACGTACTTGACTGCTGCAGGTCTGAGTTTTTTGCAGAATCACAGAATTGAAGGGATTGCACTTCTAGGTCACTCTGACTGCTGGATAAGAAGGTAAGTGCCTGAAGCAGAGCCCAAGGAGCCCTCACTGCCTAGCAGTGGGGGCTAGGGAGGAGAGGAGATGAAGAAAATGTTTGAAGATGACCATGTGAATGACTGCCCTGAAATCAAACACTGACTGAATTTAGTTTGGAAAGATAGGGGCTGAGGGAGTTGGTGGGAGGCAGAAAGGGGGAATAGCGAGCATAATCACAGCAAGGGCTGGTCTGTGTCATCTTGATGCTGATTTTGGTGTGTTTGTGACCTGAAACAGAGCTGTAGTCA